GGTTCATTGTCTTGCTTTTCTGTTGTTGAAAATTACAAAGATTCTTGATTAATTATAATTAATAAATAATAATTGTAATTGTAAATTGGTGAAGGCGGGGTAAAAAAATATTTATGCAGGAGAGAGCTATATTGCGTGATCTTTGGTTTGCTACAGGAAGTTTTTTTTTTTTTTTTTTTTTTTTTTCTTTATGGTATGCCATTCTTCAGTGGGGGAGTGGAGCGGGAAGGAGGGGTTTATTGTTTTGTTTTTCTGTTTTTGAAAAATTACGCAATTTCTTAATTAATTAGAAATTGTTCTTAAAAATTAGCGAATGCCTGGTGAAAGTGTTTTTGCCATATTGAGTGCTCTTGGGTTTTGCGAAAGGAATTTTTTGTTTTTTTTTTAACGTTATTCCTTTGTTCAGTTTGTTTCGAAATTCAAAAAGTTTTCTTTTTTCCTTTTAAGGCTGTTTGTCCAGGCGCCCGGGCACCCAACTTGTGCCCAGGTACATGCCCGGTGCGTGGCCGGGCATGAGAGCATGAACCTCGGGCATGGACCCGGGCAGCCCCAGCGCCAAAGAAAAAACAGAAAAACAAAATTGTTGTGTGGAATTGCAATACAAACGACTTTTGGCTGAGGGTCACATCGGAATCCATCCCGGAAAAGAAAACAAGAGAATCAGATAAGGCACCCCCCTTTAAACCCCTTTAGCCCCTTAAAACCCAATTCCCCCCCCTGACAGCCAAGCTCGAAGAAAGAAAGAAAGAAGGCCGGAATTAGGCTCCTCTGGCCATGCTCAGAAAACCTCCACCCCCAAAAAAAAACAGAAAAAAAGAAAAAAAGAAGGGCTGATTTTTGCCTGCACGGGTGCCCGTGCAGGTGACCCTACCCGGGCGACTTGCCCGGGTCACATGGCCGTGCTGCACGGCAGGTGACCCCCGGGCAAGCCAAGCCCGGATCGCAGTCACACGGCCGGGCGATCCAAGTAGCTAGTTATCTTTTTTTTTGGTTTAGGGTGTATACTGTCCTGTTATTATGCCAGGTCTGACAATTTATGTCGGGACACAGCTCAGTCCATGACAAGCGAGTCATTTTGCAAGCTTCTGAAGTGTAAACTGATGATGCATGCTTTTTTTTTTTTTTTTTTTTTCCTTTTTTTTTGATGATGATGACGATAAATTGATAATGCGCGCTTGTTGCTGTTCAGGTTTGGAGGTCTGGCGGCGGGGTTGGTGTTTGGAACTTTGCGAGAATCGGCAAGGAGGGCATGGGAAGGTGTACCACTCAGAAACACCCCAAAAGGGGGAGAAAATGGGACAAATGGCGGAGCCACCACCTCCTCCTCCCCCCCAACATACAGCGCCGTCATCAACGAGCGGAATGCTGAAAGACTTGCAGCAGCACTGTGCAGGTTTGTGAGACTGCCACGTGTCAACACGTCAATGCATGATTATATTGATTAGTAATTGTTTTTCTCCTGCTGCTGCTACCACTACTATCACTACTTCTCAGTATTACTCACTACCACTCACTACTACTACAGGGAGTAGTTGACATTCTACTTTTTGTAGAAGCAGCTTTTGCTGCTGACATTCTACTCTTAGAGTTACATGAGTACTGTAGTACTCGGATGGCCTCTCTCTCTCTCTCTCTCTCTCTCTCTCTCTCTCTCTCTCTCTCTCTCTTTCTGTGTGTGTGTGTGTGTGTGTGTCTGTCGCTTCCCCCCGCTCGTTGATAAGGCTTTCTCTGTGCTGCAATGGGCGAATAGTGTAATATCATAGGGTCACAAACTCGGTGTAGTGTATGAATGTCGGATGCCCTCTTTGCTTCGGTTGAAATCATGATGTGGTAGTAAATGCTGCTCCGTCTCTCTGCCAGTGTGCAGTTTTGTTGTCACTAGATTTCTCACTACAGAGAAAGGCTAACCAACCTGCGCACTGTGGAGTGTGGCTTGCACATGACACTCTTGTTTTTCTTTTTTGTCCTTTTTTTTCCCCGTTCTTCTTTCCTTTTTTTCTGCTCATTATACTTTCTAATCTGCAATCGCGTTAATGTCAGGTCAGGTGATTCTCTGCTCCCTTCCGTGTCTGATAATTGTTGTTGTACTCTCACAGGCTAGGAAAAGCTGCAAAACCCGTCTCGCTGTAAACATGATTGAGTCTGTTCGTGCCAGCTAGCCTAGCACAAACATAGCACGAAGATAGCACGAACATAGCACGAACATAGCACAAACATAGCACAAACATAGCACAAACATAGCACAGACGCAACACAAACATAGCGTCAGTTTTTTTTTTTTTTTTGGGTTGAAATAACGGTGGGAAGCTTTTTTTTTTAAATCCTGAAGGCGCAAAAAAAAGCACACGCCAACTTGAAATGAGCAATTTTGGTTCTAAAGTATCCGTTGGGCATTTTCTTTTTTTTTTTTTCTTTTGTTTCCCCCTCGGACACCCACGGCTGACCCCTGTAAATATGACACCACGGCCGTCGGTACATCCGTCGCCTTTTCAAACTCGGCGCGGTTTCATTCGCCGATGATGCGTGCTTTTTTTGCCCATTCGATACTCAAAGGTGACATGAAATGAATATACTTATCCCTATTTTTCCTAAGTAAATGCAAGCTGCCTTCTCCTCATATGGGG